CAAAGCCAAGTATATAAATTGTGAGTCTGGGTTGAGTGGCTCATGCCTGTAATCCCAGCACTTTGGGAGGCTGAGGCAGGAGGATCACTTGAGCCTTGGAGTTCAAGACCAGCCTGGGCAACATAGTGCGACCCCCATCTCTAAAGAAAAAGTTAACCGGGTGTGGTGGCATGCATCTGTGGTCTCAGCTGGTAGGGAGGCTGAGGTGGGAGGCTAGGAGTTTGAGGCCGCAGTGAGCCATGTTTCGTCAGCCACTGTACTCCAGCCAGGGTGACAGAATGTGACACTGTCTCAAAAAAACTTTACTATGGCTGAGCACAGTGGTGGGTTCCTGTAATCCCAGCACTGTGGGAGGCTGAGGCAGTGGATGGCTAGAGCCCAGGAGCTGGAGGCTGCAGTGAGCTATGATCATGCCACTGCACTCCAGCCTGGGTGACAGAGCAAGAGTCTGTCTGAAAAAAAGAAAAAAATATGTGAAATATCTGCCATCATTCTATCATTGACAGTTGTTTCTTGTTTGTTTGTTTTGTTTTTTGATGGAGACTCACTCTATCACCCAGGCTGGAGTGCAGAGGTGTGATCTTGGCTCACCGCCACCTCCGCCTCCAGGGTTCAAGTGATTCTTGTGTTTCAGCCTCCCAGATAGCTGTGACTATAGGTGCCCGCCACCATGCCTGGCTAATTTTTCTATTTTTAGTAGAGTCAGAGATTTAGCATGTTGGCCAGGCTGGTCTCAAACTCCTGACCTCAGGTGATCCACCTGCTTCGGCCTGCCAATGTGCTGGGATTACAGGCAGGAGCCACCGTGCCTGGCCTATCATTGACAGTCTCTTAATCAAGGAGCAGATGAATGACGCTGGCCTCTGTAGACACAGTGACTGCTGCATGGGTCACTCTGAATGCTCAAGGCTAGTGGGCTGCTAATTGCTCCTCCTGCTTAAGTTGGAAACTCATCCTGATTCAGCTGGGTTTGCTCCTAAAGTAGTTTATATCAATTATGCTTGCAATAGTGAAATTTGATT